GCCGCGAGCGCGAGCCCTGCGAGGAGCGCTAGCGGGGTCTTGGCCATGGGTCTGTGTAGGTAGGTACTCGGGGCTAGAGTCGGTGGAGTCGGCTACCGCAAGGCTGCAAGGTCAAATGACGGGCCTGGCTTGACGCCCTCAATAGAAATGAGCGCCGGCGCCCTGGCGTAGTAATAGGGTGTGTATCAGCCACACTGGCCCTCTGTCCATACAAACTCCAAGTCAAATCCCAACGAACGCTACGCGAACCGACTCATTTGACGCAATTTAATTCGTTTGGAGCCGAATGACTCGGAATTTGTATTCAAACCAGTTCAAGAAACAGCGTGCGTGGTTCGATCGTGGACGTGAAATACAATGGCTAGGTTTTATTGACCTCAGAAATATATCTGGATTCGTATGTACATACCTACGACAAGAATATTATTTTACTTCGCCTCCACATGGCGCCCATACTCACCGCGCAGGGCGGGCGCGTCACGCGGATTCATCGACGTGCTGCGTACTATAGTAGGAAGAAGCAGCCTCTAGCATTGCGCTGACGACCCGCTGCAACAACCCCGACGACGACGCAGCTGCAACGACAACCAATCCTTGGACACGTCGCGCGACCCAGATTTGTAGTATTCTCAAGTCCACTCGGCAGCAAAAGGCAATCTCATGTTGCACAAGTGCCATCTCACGCTCCAAGCAGCAGCGCGGGATGCGAGCGAGGAGGAGCGGTGAGCCAGTGCACCGCTTGGGATTTTCATGTAGAAAGTACGGTGTACACCGCCAGCGGATACATAGCAACGAGCGACCAGGTGCGTGTTCGGTTTGAAACGAATGGTACGAGAGTGGACTTTGTCAGCGCTGGACGCTATGTTCGATGCGCGTGCACTCGTCTTGTATTACTTCCCGCTCGAGGCCACCATCGTCGTCCAAACGTTATCGTTTGCTTTGGCGCGTCGTTATCAAAACTCCGGTATTTCGTCGTTTGCACCGTAAATATCACAGGGTTGTGATTGGTGCAT